GCATCAGTAGAAGAGGTGCAGGTTTGGGATGAGCCCAGAAGTGAACCCACAAGAGCGAGATCTGAGTCTCAAACGATGATGGACGCGGCTCTCGGAGTTAAGGAGAGAAGGATCTGGCATGCGAGACAACCTTGTCTATTGATGACGAGAGATCGCTAGTTAATTGAGAGAATGAGGAGGGATTTTGATGGTGATGGGGATCTGTGGTTTTATACATTGGCCTCGATTAAATAATGGAGATTTGTACTACGACGACGCGATGTAGATATTTAGCGAATAGCAAAGAGAGCGGCCAATGACCTTTGATACTATATGAAGAAGTTGTCCCTGTAAATTCACATGCTGGAGTACATGATTGTTGATGATTACCCTGCAGTAGCGCCATATCTTGACGTTCTGAGTACCCTTTCCATGCATCCGATTCATTGTCGCCACTTTTTAGTCCTGTATCAAGACATTGAATAACGAGAAAATGCCCCAAATTTCACATCAACGAGTCAAACTTTGATGTACTCTTTACTCTCTGGATTGTCCGATCACCTGATAATCAACGTCCGCATGTGCCGTGCAGTGTGGCTGGCTTTATCACCTAACTCAACGGCTCATATCCCGAGTCAGGTCCGGCTTGTAGCGGCAAAGATTTTGGATTTTTATATCGGACGCCGAAGACGAAGCTTATCGGAATTTGTTTTCATCTTCTGACACAGGCCTCAATCTGGACCATTCTCTCTCAATCAGACTCTCATACTACTCTTGAGATAATTCTGGACTATGACTACAGGCTCAGAGCCCTCGGTTGGAGCGCCGAAGCGGATTCTTTTTATCGATGCCTATGACTCGTTTACTAACAACATCGTCTCGCTCCTCCGAACCCTTCTTGGCGCTGATATCTTCGTCATAAGAATCGACCTCTCAGTAGTTGATAGAGTCAGCGACGACGATGCACCCGCAAAATGGACAGAGCAAGAGTTTATCAATAATCTCGCTCAATTCGACGCCGTAGTTTGCGGCCCTGGCCCTGGATCACCACTCAATCCAGAAGACGTTGGGGCGTTCAATCTTCTCTGGGATCTCCCTGAGCATCTTCAGCTGCCAGTTTTGGGTATTTGTCTTGGATTTCAGAGTTTACTTGCTGCGCATGGCGGGTCTGTGAGAAGACTCAAGAGGGGTCTTCATGGAATGGTGAGAGAAATTGAGCATCACGGAGAAGACATATTCTGCGGAGTACCCCCCTTCAAAGCTACTCTATACCATAGTCTCTGTGTTGATATTGGTCAATACAGCGATGACTGGGCAGAAGAGAATCGGTGGAAGCCGACATCGGAGTTTTCACCATTGGCATGGGCAACAGAAATCAGAGACGATGGGAGAAGGGAACAGATCCTCCAAGGAGTGAGACACAACAAGAAGCCATTCTGGGGACTCCAGTACCATCCTGAGTCTGTCTGTACAGAGAAGAATGCCCAGGGAGTTCTCATCAACTGGTTCCAGGCTGCGCTGCAATGGAACAAATACCATGGACGACGAGTACAGGGACCCTTACTAGAGATTCAGACTCTCTCGCCGCCGAATCACCTGGAGTCTGCAGCTGCGCATAAGGAACATTTGGGTGATTTGTGGTTGACCTCAAACTCTTCAGAAACTTCGCTGAGAAACTTTGCGAGGGGGTATGAATACACATATCGCACAATCACACTGCCTCAGGGGGCTGGCGTGCCAGAACTTGTTGAGATGCTGGGGTTGGCAAAGGGAGAGACCATTATACTTGACTCGTCGAGTTCTAAGAACGGAGATGCACTAGCATTGAACAGCATTGTGGCTCTCCAAGTTGACGATGCGCTGCGGTTCGAGTACAACGTTTGCGATGACTATGTTACGGTGCGGCTCCCGAATAAAGACGGAAAGGACAAAACGGAGATGATCAGCCTCAAGAACGGCACAATCAACGTCTGGGAGGTCATCTCAGACTTCTGGGAGACGCGAAGCCATCCTCCTGGATCTGACCGTTCAACTTCAGCTTTCAAGGGCGGTTTCATGGGATTCATCACCTATGAGATGGGGCTACACGGCCTCGAGAAGAACATGGTCCCGGAAGATCGGGGCCACAAGAGACCAGACATTTGTCTAGCTTGGGTAACGAAAAGCATTGTTCTAGATCACAGAGCTGGCGTTGCATATATTCAAAACCTGAAAGCTCGAGGATCAAACGATGCATGGCTGGATAAGATAACGGAAAGAATTCAACAGCCCGACTATTGGAATGCTACCAAGATGAGAAACGGAATCAATGGGCATGTCATTGAAAACCGTGCCCAGAACAAGGAAATCAATATCATAGCGCCACAGCCAGACAGGTATGAAGAGCAAGTTCGTGTTTGCCAGGATTTCATCGCAGCAGGTGAATCTTACGAACTTTGTCTCACATCACAAACGACCATGGCAAGGCCTCGTTCAAGAAACAATGAGAGAAACCCATGGACCATATATCAGACCTTGAGGCAGAGGCAGCCAGCGCCCTTTGGGTCTTTTATCCGTCTTGGTGGCGCTACAATGCTGAGCTGCTCCCCTGAGCGTTTCCTTCGATACGACACCAACGGACTCTGCTCAATGAGACCCATGAAGGGAACAGTTCGCAAGTCGGAGGCTGTGTCAACCCTCGCGCAGGCCGAGAAGATCCTTCATGTACCCAAGGAAGTTGCTGAGAACCTCATGATTGTCGATCTGGTCCGACATGATTTGCATGGTGTCTGTGGCGTTGGCCATGTCACAGTTCCTGATCTCATGAAGGTAGAAGAATATGCCACGGTCTTCCAGATGATCACTGTGGTCAATGGGCAACTCCCAGGCCGCAATGGAAACAAGCCTCATGGCGCTCGCCGAAGCAGCTTTGACTCCCACTGCCCTTATACTGGTTTGGATGCCCTCGCTGCGGCTTTACCTCCTGGAAGTATGACAGGGGCGCCGAAGAAGCGCAGCTGCGAACTTCTACAGATCATCGAGGGCCAACATGAGCGAAGTCTCTACTCTGGTGTTGTAGGATATATGGATGTCGCAGGTGCAGGAGACTGGAGTGTCACGATCCGAACTATGTTTAGATGGGACGATGAGACGGCTCCCGCTGAAGAGGGCGAGACAGAGCCCAGAGAAGTTTGGAGAATCGGAGCTGGAGGTGCGGTAACAATCCTGAGCACCCCTGAAGGTGAGAGGGACGAGATGTTCACCAAACTTGCCGGTCCTATGGGTGTGTTTAGAGACGCGGCATAGCTTGGATCTCAGTGAAGAGGCCAGATTGGATTAGATGGATGGACAGGCGCAGCGTTTGACTTTGGACATGATACCTCAACGTACACATCGTCGGAGTTTTTTGGTTTGGAATTCAACAACATAGACGGATGGGATAGGACCACAACATCCGGAACATAGTAGAAGATGATACGATATATTCCTCGTAAATAAGGATATCTTTGACGACCGACTATAACCTCCCGTTGCCGTCCCAAGACCCAAGTATTTATCCTCCTTGCGAATAGCCGAGACTGATGTTAAGACCCCGCTGAATGCCCAAGTGACTCCTTTGTCCTGTGATCATACACGCGTTATACAGGCTTTATACTAGCGATTATCCCCCTCTTCCTGAAACGCAACATTCTGTATCCATCCTTGGCTCGGTGACTCCGAGTGTTTCTGGTTTATGCGACTCCGTATTGCGCGCGCATTTAGAAATCTTGCTCCTCGTGGAAAAACATGCCGAAGCTGACAATGGTTCCGTAGATCAATAGACCGCCGATTATGGACATTACCATGGCTTGCACCTCGATGAGACCAGAGTGAGCGAGAACGACCGGGAGAGCTATGCAACAGTCAGCCACGTGAGTTCGGTAAGGGAATCATTCCATTGGCACCAGCAGCGTTGCGCCGGCTGAGCAGGACTTACCAATTCCCATAACAACAAAGAATCCTGTAAAGAAGCGTCCCAAGTCTAGAACCGCAGCGCCGGAGCTCTCCACGAAGTCATCAGGGTTGGCGCAGTGTCCGCAGATCCAGTTGGGAATAGGCGCAATGACATAGGTGGCGACGACGAGGAGAGGATAATACACCTTCCACAGAGCGCAGGAGAGAATAACGAGGAGGAATCCGACGGCGAGGACGAAGGAGAGGGCGATGATGGTCTTGAGGCCTGCGGTCGGCATCTTGGGCGATGGTGTTTAAAGAGCTGGAGAGGACGAGTTATGCGGCGATGTCGGCGACGTAAGCTCCCCGTGGGGAGATGAAGGAAAGTTAATCGGGTATAGAGGAAATATCGAGTCGTAAGCGGCGAAGCGACTGGTTGTGTCGGACGCGACGGGAAAGGAAGTTCGTTGACGTTGTCTGTGTTACGCGGCTACAGTAGGCCAAGTTCCAAGATGATGCTATCCCAACTTATCAACCAGGTACGTATTCCTTTCCCAGGTCCGATGTCAGTCATTCGGAAATACTATTTCCCGAACCAAGTGGGCATTGAAAATGGAACGCTGTAAGTGGCTGTTATGAATGCTGTTAGTGGGCTAGTGGGTCGCCTTCTTATCTGATAGCGCAGTCTAGTAAAAAAAATCCAAAAACTCCAAGATCTCTCTACCTCGATCATCGCAATCGCAAATTACATATCACAACCTCCAGACTCAACAAAGAGATTCTGGGCCAGGACGAGGCCGAATTATCGATAGAGCTTAAATAGCTCTTGTTCTGTGCGGCGACACGAGAATTAGCCTCATCGGCCTGTCTCCCATCCCCATTTTGCTGTGGCTTTCTCTATATCCTCACCTCTCGACACGATACGACCATCCACAAGCTCGCCAGCAATTCCCCAATCAGCTGTCACTGCTATTAGTGATCATAATCGCGCTGTCTAAGCGGTCTTACTAGCCCCGTAACCCGAAACACTGTCGCCTTCCGTCTGTTTGGAGACTTGGACAAGACACAACACCACAACCAACACCAGGACAAGCTATTCCGTTCTCAAGATGAGCTTCAGTGGAAATAGTGATGAAATTGTGTGGCAAATTATTGGTCAACAATTTTGCGCGTTCAAGATTAAGTCAGTTGCTGCTCACTCTACTCGGCCTTGTTCTCTTGGTGAGGCTTGATGTAAGATGATAGGCTAACTTCTGTCCAGAACCAACAAAGCCCAAACATTCTGCCGAAATGAGCACAATGTTACAGGTCTCTGTAACCGTCAGTCATGTCCTCTCGCGAACTCGAGATACGCTACAGTCAGGGAGCATCAAAACCGATTGTACTTGTTGATCAAAACCCCAGAAAGGGCCCATCTCCCAAGCAAACTTGTAAGTCTTCAGGTTGTCATACGAGGTGACAAGCTGCTAATCATAGTCGCAGTGGCAACGTTACAAACTACCCAGCAATTACTCCAAGGCATTGTCCATGATAGACGAGAAGCTTATATATTGGCCTAATTTCCTCATTCACAAGTGCAAGCAACGTCTCACCCGCTTGACACAGGTTCAGACTCGCATGCGTCGCATTGCCGCCGAGGAGGAGCGGTTGGGTGAAAAGCTTGTCCCCAAAATGGCCCCTAAGATCAGACACCGTGAGCAGGCCCGTGAGCGCAAGGCCGAGGCGGCTGCTAAGCTGGAACGAACTATTGAGCGCGAGCTTGTTGAGCGTCTTCGACAGGGTGCTTACGGCGATCAGCCCCTCAATGTCAGTGAGTCTATCTGGAAGAAGGTTCTCAATGCCATGGAGCGCGACGGCGAGGGCCAACGTGACAAGGACCTGGACAAGGGCCTTGACGAGAACGGCGAGGAGGCTGAATGGAGTGAGGAGGAAGACGACAACCTGGAGAACCAGGTTGAGTATGTTTCCGATATTGAGGAGAGCGACGAGGAGCTCGGCGACCTTGAGGACTGGCTCGAGAGCGAAAACGAGGAGGAGGACGAAGAGGATGATGATGATGATGACAGCGAAGAGTCCGAGACCGAGAAGTCTGGCGCCAAGCGAAAGCGTGGACGAGCCATCAAGATGAAGAACAAGAAGCCCAGACAGGAGGAGAAGGAGAAGCTGATGCTCACCAACGATCTTACATGGTAATTGACGGTCTCAAAATCAAGCTTCGGCGTTTGAGGAGTTGGCATTCTCTACTAAGAAAGATGAAAAAAAACGGGGTTTACGAAGGGTGGGAAAAAAGCATACATCAATGTGTACCTTCTTATCAGAGGATATCACGTCGCAATATGCTTCATTCTTGCTGAGCTGATTCTTGGCAAGGTATAGATACCAAAATAGGCTGCCAATATTTTTATATGAATTTGTTGTTACTTGAAACGCTTTGAAACTATTCTCCCTCTAATGCTTGTTTGGGTCTTGTCGCTTGTGTGTGTGTGTGTGTGTGTGAGAGAGAGAGAGAGGCTCTGTTGAGACAAATGGAAGCTTTAGGCCTTGCTCCACTCCCGAGTCCTACAATTGCCCCGCCCAAATCTACAGCGCATTTTAGTTCAGACACCTATGAAACTCCCCCAGTCCACTTCCACTTCCACTTCCACTTCCATTCTAAACGTCACTGCTTCACCTCCCATTTCCTCCTCCGCTCTTCAAAGAGGCGTTCTCTGACCTTCTTGACACTGACAGTACCTCACTTATACTCCTGATATATCACGACAGCAGCTGGCTGCACCACCTAATCAACTGCGATAGCAACAGAGCATTGCGCTCACCCCTCAGACCTTCAATTACAGCTCAAGCCATTCTCTGAGTTTCGATACCGCTTCCGCAACCTACATCAAGCAAGCCCGTCGCGCGATAGGCGCAACTTCATTCCACTCGAACAACCATCGATGCGAAACTCTACGAACATATTAGCTACAAAAGATAACACTTTGACATAACACACAATATGGCGTCTTGGTACTCAAACCTCGTCCAGAAGACATCTTCTCAAATCTCCTCCCTCCGCCAGAATCTTCTCTCCAGCGAACAAGACGGCGACTCCGAAGACGATACTCACGTCTGCCGCGTCCTTCGTGGCTACTACACAGAAAAGGGGCGCCCATTCCCCCCATGGCTGCCCGTGGATCCCAAGGCACCAGCCCAACAACCCATACAGCCCGTCATGACACCACAAGCCGGCCAGCGCCCCGGCGCTCCAGGTCAGCAACACGGTGGTCTGAGTAGTCTATGGGACAACGGACCACAACAGCCACAACAGCAAGCGCCTCAGAGTCTTCGGGCTGGAGGTGGACGAACACCCGCATCGCTGCAACCTGGAGGCGGCGGTGGTGATATTAATAGGCGACCACTGCCAAGTCAACAGCGCGCGGGTAGCTACCAGAGCACGGGCGGCCAATTCGGTAGGCCCGAAACGGCCAGCGTGCCACCTGGTGGTGCTTCGGGAGGCGGAGGTGGAGGATCTGCGCAAGATAGATTACGACAGAGGCTTTGGGGAGGAGGATCTAGAACAACGAGTCCTCAGGCTGGAAGTCAAGGACCTTTCAACCCTCCCGGTGGAAATAATGGAGGAGG